ACATTAATCTTCATTGCGACAGTTGCATTGATTATTGCACTCCTGTTTTTGTTATTCTGGTTGAAAGTTATCAAAAGAGGGAAAAAGACAGGCTGAAAGAATTGCATTTTGGTGATTTTGTTTTGCTCAATTCTGAGAAGGCAAAATTTAAAACTGGCTGTTTTTCATGCCACAAATTCTGTTGAGATCTGTACCAAAGGTATGAGTTGTGTTTAAAATTTGAGAATGAATCCTATTTCCTTAAAAGTGAATCTGAATTATTCCCATGTCAGTAAAATTATTTAAGTTTACTATTTTAATCCCACTGGTGTAAATGGAATTACTAGGTTTGATATATCCATGTTAGTTGAACCAGGAAGGAAGGATGAGAAACCTTATCTCCATATACAAATCAGCACAAGTGCTATGATCTGTGGAGGAGGCCCTCCTCTCAGACCCACCCCTGTCTCAAGTGCGGTGGTGGGGATGAGAGAGAGGGCTTTCTCCGTGATTGCTCCTCGTCTCTGGAACTGCCTCCCTAAAGAATTAAAAATGTCCTCCTCTCTCCTCTCCTTTAGAAAGCTTTTAAAAACAATCTATGCACTTAAGCCTATGGAGAGGAGGAGGAGGACTACTTACACTTTATTATATTTTTAATTTCTATGTGTAGCTATAAAAAATGGATAATGAAAAAAGGTGTGAAGAGGAACATCGAAATGCACTGAAGAAGAGTTCTATGAATACCGTGTCCTGCTAAAAAGACAAATAAATGGGTTCAAGAGCAAATAAAGTTAGAAGCCAAGATAACCAAACTGTCACACTTTAGCCGTATCATGACTTGATTCACTCTCAAAGAAAAATAAATGCTTGGTAAGATAAAAGGCAGTAGGAAAAGAGTAGGAAGGCTTGTTCCAGTGTGGTGTTGTGGTTTGAGCATTGAGGCAATGGCTTGGGAGACATCTAATTGGCTTCTATTTATGGTGACCCAATGAAAGATGCCCCATCTACACTGCCATATAATCCTGTTTCTGAATCCAAATTATTTGCTTTGAACTGGATTATATGGCAGTATAGATCCAACCTAGAGACCTACAAGTCACCTCATGTCCTGCTGCAGACTTTCCATCTTAATGTGGTCCTCTTGTCCTGCTGCCTTTTGCCTAAGTATTACACTATGCAACAAAACTTGAAAAAAAAATCTTCCGGGTTTGAATTGTGCAAACTAAGTACTTTTAATTGTGCAGTACTTACTTTGAAAGTAATTGTTATACTCCAGAAATATCATTTTTGTGGCTGCCACAAACTTATGTTGAATTGGTTGAGACCCAATGAGATATGCACTGAAAAATTATAGCAAAATGTGCTCACAGGATGTCCTGAATTTTTTTTGGCAGTTTAATAAACTTTTTGCATGTTTTTATGATACAACCAATGAGGAAATGACATTTATTAACCCAGGAACAAAAATCCTGTTACACAGTGTAATCTGGATTCAGATATGGCAATGTAGATCCAGCCTGAGAGCCCTACAAGTCACCCCACCCTCTCCTGCTCAGGACTATCCATCTCCATGTGGTCTTCTTGTCCTGCTGCCTTTGACCTGACCAAGTATTCTATTGCCTATCCTAATGGCAGGTATGGGCAAACCCAGGCCCGGCCCCTTGGGCTATTTTCTCAGGCCCTCCTCTCTCACCATCCTATCCTTCCTTCTCTCTTTCCTTCCTTCTTCCCTCCCTCTTTCTCTTTCCCTTCCACCCTTTCATCCTTCCTTCCCTCTCTTTCTCCTTCCTTTCTTCCCTTTTGTCTTGCCTCTCTTCTCTTTTATCCTTCCCTTCCTTCTATCCATCCTCCCCCTTTCATCCTTCCTTCCTTCTCTTTCCTTCTTCCTTCCCTTTTGTCTTTCCTTCCTTATCTCATTCCTTCCTCCTTACCTCCCTCTTTCTCCTTCCATTCTTCCCTTCCACCCTTTTTTCCTTCCCTCTCTCTTTCTCCTTCCTTCCTTCTCTCTTTTATCCTTCCCTTCCTTCCATTCCCCCTCTTTCATTCTTCCTTCTTTCTTCCCTTCCTCCCACACCTTTTGTCATTCCTTCCTTATCTTTCCTTCCTTACCTCCCTCTTGCTCCTTCCATCCTTTCCTTCCACTCTTCCTTCCCTCTCTTCCTATTTCCTTTCCTTCCCTCCGTCCCTTTTGTCTTTCCTTCCTTATCTCTTTCCTTCCTCCTTCCCTCCCTTTCTCCTTCCACCCTTCCCTTTCACCCTTTCTTCCTTCCCTCTCACTTCCCTTTTGTCTTTCCTTTCTTTTTCCTCCATCCTTCCCCCCTTCTCTTTTTTCTTCCTTCCCTTTTGTTCTTTTTTCCTTCCTCCTTCCTCTTTCTCCTTCCCCTTTCCTCCCTTCCTTCCTTCCCTCTTTTTTCTCCTTCTTCCCTTTTCTTTCCTCCTTTTCCTTTTCCTTCCACTTCTCTTCTCCCTTCTCTTTTTCCTCCTCCTTTCCCTTCTTTCTTCTTTTTTTCTTTCCTTCCTTCTTCTTTCCTCCCTCCTTTTTCTTTCCCTTTCCCTCCCTTTTCCTTCCTCTTTCCCTTCCTCCTTTCCATCACCGGCCAGCCAGTCCTCCTGGCAGGGAGTGCTAGCATGCGGCCACCAAGTTAGTTTGCCCATGCCTGCGAATGGAAACCGGGGTTCAAATCCCCAAATAGCCAGGGAAACCCATAAGTCACACTCTGCCCTTGAGAGGAAAGGAAGATCTTCCCAAAGAAAATCCAGCGATAGGGTGACCCTAATTCAGAAACGACTTGAAGACTGAAAAGAGTTTGTGTGTGTGCAAGGATTGTGGATGAGTTGGGGGGGGGGGGGGGCTTGGAGGTCACGCTATGCAAAGGTCGGCTGGAGGGCGCTTGGGAACAACAACCCCCCTCCTCCTCTTCCCCAACCCCTCCCTCCCCAAAGTAAAGGGGCTTTTGGGGTGGCGCTGTGACGCGATAAAGAGCTCCTGCGGAAAGGGCCGCCCCCTGAAAAGCCCACCAAGGCAAGGCAAGGCGATGTAATGCCAGGCGAGGGGCGCCCCTGCTCCGTCTGCCTGGGCGCAGCTCTCCCAGAAGGTCTGTCCCTAGCTTTGCCGCTTTCCCTCTCTGTGCAGGCAGGAGGAGGTCCGTCTCCATCTCTCTGCCCTCCTTGGGTCTGGCGCAGGAGAACTAAGGCCCCTTCACTGCCCTGGCTCCATGCTGGGCGGGGGGGGGGGTGTCCTTTCACATGGTCTTGAGCTTTCTCTGCCCACGAGTGCTGGGACCTCCCTAAACTACAGCTCCCAGGATCCCATGACAGTTAAAGTTGTGTCAAACTGCATTCATTCTACCTGCAAATCGATTTAGGCTGGATCTCCACTGCCATACCATCCAGATTATCCAAGTAGATAGTCCACATTATTTGCTTTGAACTGGATTATATGGCATTGTAGACTTCCAGATCATCTGTGTCAAACTGTGTTGAACTGGATTATATGGCAGTGCAGATTTATATAATCCAGTTCAAAGCAGATAATGTGGATTATCTGCTTTGATAATCTCGATTATATGGCAGTGTAGATCCAGCGTAAGGCTCCTTCTACTCTGCCATATAATCCAGTTTTTCCAGGTTAACTGCTTTGAACTGGATTATATGGGTCTACACTGCTATATAATCCAGTTCAAAGCAGATAATCTGGATTTTAAATGTCAGTGTAGGGCTCCGTCCACACTGCCCCTATATCCCAGCCTCTGACCCCAGAGTCTCTTCTCATACCAGATTATCTGGCAGTGGAGACTCATAATCCAGTTTAAAGTGGATAATCTAGGGGCACCCTGGTGGCGTAGCGGGTTAATGCACTGAGCTGCTAAGTTTGCTGACAAAAAAGTTGGCAGTTCAAATCTCGGGAGTGGGGTGAGCTTCCACTATTAGGTCCAGCTTCTACCAACCTAGTAGTTTGAAAATATGCATGAGTAGATCAACAGGTACTGCTTCTGCAGGAAGGTAACAGAGTCGCACTGCCCGCATGACCTTGGAGATGTCTACGGACAACGCCGGCTCTTTGGTTTAGAAATGCAGTTGAGCCCCAAAGTCAGACAGGGCTTGACTCAATGTCAAGGGGAAACCTTTACCTTTAATCTGGGATCAGATCCTGGGAGCAGTGTGGAAGGAGCCAAAGTGGTCTCGTACTGCATTAATTCTCCTCTTCATTGGAGTGATCCAGGTTCAGCCATGATTGGTGGATCTTGGGTCAGTCGTAGGCTGAATCTACACTGCCTTATAGCCTAGGATCTGATCCCTGATTATCTGCCTTGAACTGGATTATATGAGGGCCCTTCCACACAGCTATATAACCCAGAATATCAAGGCAGAAAGTTCCACAATATCTGCTTTGATATTCTGGGTTATCTGAGTCCACATTGCCATATATTCCAGTTCAAAGCAGAAAATGTGGGATTTTGTTCAGCTGTGTGGAAGGGGCCTCAGTTGTTAGAGTGAAGTGAAACTGCAGCAGTCAAGCTGTTCTAGACATTTTATTCACGTTTTTTTTCATATGCTCCATTTACAGTTAAGAATATCATTGTAGACCTCCATCTAACACAATGGTTCTCAAATTGTGGGTCCCCAGGTGTTTTTGGTCTAGAACTCCCAGAAATTCCAGCTAGTTTACCAGCTGTTAGGTATTCTGGGAGTTGAAGATCAAAACATCTGTGGACCCACAGGTTGAGAACCACTGATCTAACGTAACAGACTTACCTGGGCTCTTGGCTCATTGCACCTGATGAAATTGGGAATACTTTCCATGGATATTCATGCTGCTAATTGTACATGATACATGGTTAGCTGGTTACTATAGGATTGTAAGAAAGACTGAAATGTATTGATTCAATCCGCAGACTTTCCTCTTTTCATTCTTTTTTGTTTTGTTTTGTTTTCCAAAACTAATCAATATTGCACATCTCTTTTTCTCCATTTACCACCAGAATTGAATTGTTTTGCTTTGCCAGCAAAGAGCAGCTGCAATGAGTCAACTTAAAGAAGATGAACCAACAAATAATGGGAAGAAGAGTGAATTACTTCCTTTCAACTGCAAGGTGAGTGATTAACTCTGGGAAAAGAGCTTGGCAGTTTGTATCTTGCAACCTCTCGCATTTTAGGCTTGCTATATTACTTTTTAACTATTTTAACTATTGCCATGTTAGCTCTTACATAAAGTCCTTTGACCTCATCTACACTGCCATATAATGTAGTTTAAACCTGCATTATATAGTCAGTGTAGATTCATATAGGAGCCCCCAGTGGTGCAGTGGGTTAAACCGCTGAGCTGCTAAACTTGTTGACCGAAAGGTCGCAGGTTTGAATCCAAGGAGTGGCATGAGCTTCCACTATCAGCCCCAGCGTCTGCCAACCTAGCAGTTCAGAAACATGCAAATGTGAGTAGATCAATAGGTACTGCTCCAGCAGGAAGGTAACAGTGCTCCATGCAGTCATGCCAGCCACATGACCTTGGAGGTGTCTATGGACAAAGCTGGCTCTTCGGCTTAGAAATGGAGATGAGCACCAACCCTCAGAGTCGGACACGACTGAACTTAATGTCAGGGGAAAACCTTTAGCTTTACCTTTACCCAGGGGCGGCTCAACCCATTAGGCAAAGTAAGCATTTGCAGTATAGTTGATTCTACCCAGGGGCGCTCTTGAGGCGCTCTTGGGGAAAAATAGACCTTGACATATGCGAGTTGTAGTTACTGGGATGTATAGTTCACCTACAATCAAAGAGCATTCTGAACTCCACCAATGATGGAATTGAACCAAATATGGCACACAGAACTCCCACGACAAACAGAAAATATATATCAGTGATTGGTTGGGGAGCGCCAAAATACTGTTTGCTTACCATTGAAAATTACCTAGGGCCGCCTCTGCCTTTCCCTAGATTCATATAATGCAGATCAATGCAGTTAAATTGCATTATATGACTCTACACTGGCCAGGCCCGTAGACAGGATTTCGTTTCGGGGGGGGGGGGGGGGAAGAAATTTGGGGGGTTTGGGGGGGTGGGGGGGGGGGGGGGCTGAGTCTTAGGAATCTACCCTAGCAAACCTTTTGTATCATTGTCCCAATGCCCCCCATACATATGGGATATATTGAGCATAGTGATCGATCATGATATGAATAAACATAACAGTTTAAATAATGTACCAGTAAGGCCTTTTCGCACCACTGAGAATTTCGGGGGGGGGTTGAAGCCCCTCAGCCCCCCCCCCCTCCCCCCGGCTACATGCCTGACACTGACCATATAATGCATTTTCCAACTGCATTATATGGCAGTGTAGGTGGAGCCTTTGTGATTTCCCCCCAACCACTATGTAGCCATCTGTGTATGGGCTTTAACTCTGAAACTTTGTTGCACTCCCATTTTGGTTAGTTTAGTTGGTAGTGCTAATGGCTGGGGATGAGAAGGAGAAAAAGAGTTTTATGCACCAGCTCACAGCTTATTACCAGCAAGCCAGAGTTTATCATAATATTTCTGAAGACACAATCTTTGCAACAAGGACACAAAGTGTCTTCGAGATAGCTTTTGAAACTCTTCAGTGACTGCTGTCATTGCTGTCTGACTTTGCTATCTTATATTGAATACATTTTCCTTCTAGGCATTATTAGCTTGAGTATAAACTTTATTATGTACTCTTCTTCTAAGTCTTTGTAGTTAGTTACCGAGCGGATCCATAACTCAAACAATAAGTTGATAAGCTATTATATCTTTCAATTCGAGATCAGTGTCAGTATGCTGGGTCTGTTTCTTTCTCCAGGTGTCAGAACTGTTACTGGCCCACAAATGCCTAAAATGGGGACAAGAGACACATCTTTATGGGGTGGATGTTTTGGAGTCCCATGCATCCCTTTTCCATGCTATCCGGTCAACTTTAAAAGCTTGGAAGAAGACTGCAAGACATGAGAAGGCGAAACGCTTGGAGGTCAAGAAATCCAGTGGCATTTCCTTAGCAAGCCTTCGGGTAGAAGATTTTGTAACTGAACATTTCGATTTTCTGAAAGACAGAAGAGAAGACAAAGACACCCGCAAGAAATCGCGTTCTAAATCCATCTGCAAACCTGTACATCCCAGATATCCGCTTATATCAAAAAGCAAAAAGCAATGGAAAGCTGATCTTGAAGAGTTGACACCAACACGCTTGCTTCCTTACTTTATTTTAATTAGGAATTGTTATCCATTGCCACTATCCATCATCCAAAGCCTATGTTTTTCAAGAGAGATACAATGCAGGATTGAGCGTTTTACTCGGAAGCGCAGAAAGAAGAAAGAAATAACTCGGCTTGAATCGGAAGAACATCCGATGCTTAAAATGCAGACAATAGAAGGTTGGCAGATGCAAGTAGAAATAAGTAAACATGTTAGAGAACAGGACTGTTCAGATACTAGTTTAGGGTAATTCTAGGTGAAAATACTGTGCTTAAGGGGTTCATAGTTAACATCCAAAAATGAAAATAGAGCTGTCAAAGGCTTTCATGCCCGGAATCACTGGCTTGTAAGTTTTCCAGGCTGTATGGCCATGTTCCAGAAGCATTCTCTCTTGACGTTTCACCCACATCAATGGCAAGCATCCTCAACAGTCATGAGGACTGTTGGAAATTAGACAAATGAGGTTTATATCTCTCTCTGGAATGTCTAGGGTGGGAGAAAGAGCTGTTGGAGGCAGGTGTGAATGTTGCAATTGGCCCCCTTAATTAGCATTGAATGGCCTTTCACCTTCAAAAGTCTGGCTGCTTCTTGCCTGGGGGAATCCTTTATTGGGTGGTGTTAACCAATAACTAGTCCTGAAAGACATGTGGACAATTTCAACAGAAAGAAGGAAATAATGAAAATGAACAAAATCTGGCAGCCAGTATTTAAAAAATTCTAAGATCAGGACAGTAAATAAAGAACAACACTCAGAAAACAGGGGAATTCCAGACAGGAAACAATCAGAGTGAGTTAAAAAATAGCTTCTCTTATGGGAGGTTTGGTGATGGTTGGTGGATGAGATGGCCTGATGTTCTAGATTGGCATAGACTGGGTGGACTGACAGTATCTCCCAAGATTAGGTTTGCATCCTCAGATAGTCATCTTCTTGGCAGCAAGTTATTTATTTATTTATTTATTATTTCAAACATTTATGCCCCGTCCTTCTCTACCTCCGAGGGGGAACTCAGGGCAGCTTACAATGGCAACAATTAGACGCCGGCAACATACAAAACATTACAGTAAAAACATTACATAGTAAATAAAACATTAACTTAAAATCCATTTAGTATAATTCTAATAGTAGCCACTGAATCCCATGTGTCCTAGCTTTTCTTTGAACACTATTTCTGCTCTTCCCCCACTTTAAAGATTTCTTAAAAATCATTTGCATCTCATGTTTTCTCTGTTTTTCAGATCCAAAGTACATCACATTTTCCAGCTTAAGGGAGCTGCAGTGGAAGTTATTTAAAGGTCTGGTGAAAAGGAAACCCGGAACTACTGGAGTTTGGAGAGTACCTTTATACAGTTTGGGGATTGCAGACACAATTACTCCTCCCAAAGAAGAATACGTCCTTCCTTTGATACCTAAGGACTGGATAATCGATGACTCCCTCAAGTTTTCAGAGGAAATGACACACCTGCTTCTCCAGTATAATCCTCAGTCATGAATGGAAAGGTAGTTACCTGCAGTTCTGGAAAAAATCCAACTAAAATGCATTGAACAGTTCATAGTGTTAGTATAATTAGTATAATTCTAATAGTACAAAGTGTCATCAGTCCAGAGCATATGAGTATCATTCATGGTGGTCTAAAAGTACAGTGTGAAAATGTGTCTCCAACAAACATCTAAAAATAAAAAAAAATCTCAGATAATGTCTACTGCAGACCTTGTGAACATGTATCTAAATTCTACTCTGTGTTGGAGGAAGCAACCTTCTCAACTTCTGGTTTGTTTTTTTATAATGTGTTGTTTTATAACCTGAAGTATATGTCTTATTTGTAATTTTCAGTTTCCTTATCTCTATATACCTAAAGCAGTGGGAGGGGCTGCAGGTCACATGACTAAGAGTGACAGTTTAGAATGTTCGGTTTTAAACAGGCAAAACTACGTTGAGGTGGATCTGTAATTGGTTAAGTGGACGAACACAGAGAGTGCTCACTAATGCTTCCTCTTCATCTTGGAAAGAAGTGACAAGTGGAGTGCCGCAGGGTTCCGTCCTGGGCCTGGTCCTGTTCAACATCTTTATTAATGACTTAGATGAAGGGTTAGAAGGCATGATCATCAAGTTTGCAGACACCAAATTGGGAGGGATAGCCAATACTCCAGAGGACAGGAACAGGATTCAAAACGATCTAGACAGATTAGAGAGATGGGCCAAAACTAACAAAATGAAGTTCAACAGTGACAAATACAAGATACTCCACTTTGGCAGGAAAAACGAAATGCAAAGATACAGAATGGGGGCCTGGCTCGAGAGCAGTACGTGTGAAAAAGATCTTGGAGTCCTCATGTACAACAAGTTAAACATGAGCCAACAATGTGATGTGGCGGCAAAAAAAGCCAATGGGATTTTGGCCTGCATCAATAGAAGCATAGTGTCTAGATCCAGGGAAGTAATGCTACCCCTCTATTCTGTTTTGGTTAGACCACACCTGGAATATTGTGTCCAATTCTGGGCACCACAATTCAAGAGAGATATTGACAAGCTGGAATGTGTCCAGAGGAGGGCGACTGAAATGATCAAGGGTCTGGAGAACAAGCCCTATGAGGAGCGGCTTAAAGAGCTGGGCATGTTTAGCCTGAAGACGAGAAGGCTGAGATGAGAAATGATAGCCATGTATAAAATATGTGAGGGGAGGGAAGCCACAGGGAGGAGGGAGCAAGCTTGTTTTCTGCTTCCTTGGACGCGAAGCGAAACAATGGCTTCAAACTACAAGAGAGGAGATTCCATCTGAACATGAGGAAGAACTTCCTGACTGTGAGAGCCGTTCAGCAGTGGAACTCTCTGCCTCAGAGTGTGGTGGAGGCTCCTTCTTTGGAAGCTTTTAAACAGAGGCTGGATGGCCATCTGTCAGGGGTGATTTGAATGCAATATTCCTGCTTCTTGGCAGGGGGTTGGACTGGATGGCCCATGAGGTCTCTTCCAACTCTTTGATTCTATGATTCTAAGTCTGTCAGAAAGCAGAAGCTCATGTTAGGAAGTTAGAAACTATTGGGGCTTGTGCTTTATAATGAAAGTAAACTCTTACTAAAGAGAGCGGTATAAAGAAACATAGTTTATGAAGAAACTCTTAAAGATTATAAATTCAAGATACAAACTCTCTGAAGTTTTTAACCCTCACCAAGAAATGTGCCTGTATCTTTAAATATGTTATCAGTAAACAAAACTTGTTATTGGGTGGTTGTAAGTTTTTCAGACTGCATGGCCATGTTCCAGAAGCATTCTCCCATGACGTTTTGCCTGCATCTATGACAGGCATCCTCAGAGATTGTGAAGTGTCACCACTTTTAATTGCTATGGGATTATGGGAATTGTATTTTGGCGAGGCATCAGCACTTTTTGGCAGAAAAGGCTAAAGACCTTGTAAAACTACAGCCACTATGATTCCACAACATTGAGCCATGACAATTAAATAATTCAGCAGTGTACAGTCATATACATTGAACTGTAGTACTGGAGGAAAGTTCTGAGAGTGCCTTGGACCGCGAGAAGATCCAACCAGTCCATACTTCAGGAAATAAAGCCTGAGACTGTGGCCAGGAAATCAGAAGACGCTTACTTCTTGGGAGGAGAGCAATGTCCAATCTCGATAAAATAGTAAAGAGTAGAGGCATCACACTGGCAACAAAGATCCGCATAGTCAAAGTAATGGTATTCCCTGTAGTAACCTACGGATGTGAGAGCTGGACCTTAGGGAAGGCTGAGCGAAGGAAGATAGATGCTTTTGAACTGTGTTGTTGGAGGAAAGTTCTGAGAGTGCCTTGGACTGCGAGAAGATCCAACCAGTCCATCCTCCAGGAAATAAAGCCCGACTGCTCACTGGAGGGAAGGATACTAGAGACAAAGTTGAAGTACTTTGGCCACATCATGAGGAGACAGAAGCCTAGAGAAGACAATTATGCTGGGAAAAATGGAAGGAAAAAGGAAGGGGCCAACCAAGGGCAAGCTGGATGGATGGTATCCTTGAAGTGACTGGCTTGACTCTGAAGGAGCTGGGGGTGGTGACGGTCGACAGGGAGCTCTGGTGTGGGCTGGTCCATGAGGTCACAAAGTGTCCCATGCGACTGAACGAATGAACAAAAAACAAGCATATAGCTGCTGCCATCTGGTGGCCATACCTTACCTGTATCAATAAAATTAAGTTTCTTTTTTCACATCATGGATGAAAAGATTTTTCATCAAATCTGGAGAGTATCTTTAGGATAAACTGATTTAAAATAAAGAATATCTGCCATATATTAAATTTGCTTTGAGAAAAGGAACACCCACAGTTATTTTTTCATTGGATTTTCACCAACATTTAAAGGTTCATTTGAGATGAACCAAATTCACATTAAACAGAAGCTGGATGGCCATCAGTCTGAAGTGCTTTGTGTATTCTCGCATGATATGGTCTCTTCAAACTCTGTGATTCTATATTAGACTAAGCAGCATACAGAAATATAAATTTTGGAGAAACGGGTGGCGGGACATTATTTTATCATTTCTACAGAGCAGAACAGTGTAACCTTAGAACAGTGTAAATCCGACCCATGTCTGGCACGGACTTAAGTCCCCATCCCAGCCCGTGTTCCAGGCTCCATGACAGTATAAGATAAGTCATTGGAAGAGGCCTGCTCTCTCAAGGGGAAACAAGCTGAGATACAACATGAAGAAAGTTTCATCACTCATCCTCCAGAGCAGTTGAAACGGAGCAATCATTGACAATGGTTAATAATTCTCTCAAGCAATGCTGAGTACTGAGTATTAAAATAATAATTGAATACCCTGCTGTTAATTATCATTCCAGAGCTAGAATATTAATAGAGGTGGAGCTGTTTCTTATGGTCATTTTAAAGTACTGTATTTTGTGTAGAACAAGTATTTCAGAAGGGAGAGGTCACTTACCGGTATACTTTGTGCTTCCTCCTTTCTTGACAGCATGTAATAATCTTGTCAGCAGATAAATAGAAGTAGTTTTTTCACTTGGAGAACAAGCCCTATGAAGAGTGGCTTAAATTGCTGGGCATGTTTAGCCTGAAGAAGAGAAGGCTGAGAGGAGATATGATAGCCATGTATAAATATGTGAGAGGAAGTCACAGGGAGGAGGGGGCAAGCTTGTTTTCTGCTTCCCTGGAGACTAGGATGCAGAACAATGGCTTCAAACTACAAGAAAGGAGATTCCATCTGAACATTAGGAAGAACTTCCTGACTGTGAGAGCTGTTCAGCAGTGGAACTCTCTGCCCTGGAGTGTGGTGGAGGCTACTTCTTTGGAAGCTTTTAAACAGAGGCTGGATGGCCTTCTGTCAGGGGTGCTTTGAATGCAATATTCCTGCTTCTAGGCAGGGAGTTGGACTGGATGGCCCATGAGGTCTCTTCCAACTCTATGATTCTATTATTCTAGTTATCTTCTAATTAATGTTGCACTATAACAATTTCAGCATTTAACACTGAAATATCCTTTTGAGATCAAATTTGGCCCCACATGTCCTTTATTATGTACTATATGTAGGTATAAAAAAACCAGGCATAGTAATCCCCACAGAACACCAAAGTGATGTTTCATAATGTGTATTGTAAACCAAAAAAAAAAAAAAAGAGGAAAGGAACAACTGCCAAGGATATACACAAGGCAAAACATAAATATGCAAACCAATATCCATACCTAAAGGTAAAAAGGTAGTCCCCTGACATTAAGTCCAGTCATACACATTTAATAAATAACAAGTGGCGGAATAATGAAATGTCTGTTTGAAATGCCACAAAGGTCCAAATGATGCCTCAGGTAAAAATGAATTAACCTGGAAAAAACGGATTTGCTCCAGAGTAATTTGACACCTGGAAAAATCCAGATTTTAAGATAATGTCTGTATCTTTCCAGGAGAGGACCCTGTGGGGATTAATCTCAGAGTTGCTTTTGCAATCCCAGGGGTCAATACCCACAGCAGTCCCAGTTCTTTGGACCCAGTTCGAAGGAGCGGGATGACATGCTCACTCCCAGCTCCCAATTTTCTCCAAAAAAAACTTACCTAAGGGACCTGTACTGCTGACAGGCCTCTCAGGTAAGTTTGGAGAGAGGCTGGGGGGCAGGGGGCTGCATGCCCTTCTGAGTCAACCTCCCAGGGTTGTGGTTGGGCGTGTAAATAACCCAGTTCCTCCTGGGATTAAGGCCTGTCTGGAGGGGCCCTGCATGATCTTGATTCTCTTAAGATCTAGACTATCGTAGGTCTACAGGTTATAGTTGCACTCCGCCTGATCATTTGCTATTGCGGGACCCTGTCTTACCTGTAAGTCTATTGGGATCAGTTGTGTTTTAAACATTCCTACTGGCATTGGACAAGTAGAAAAATATGTATAACTTTGTGCCAGTGGAAGAACTGAAGATTTTGCAGCTGCACCATACTAGAGATGCTTCACCAGGTCATTTCTGGTATCAGAGCTGACTGTATTCTTTGGGTTGTTGTAAGTTTTTCAGGCTGTATGGCCATGTTCCAGAAGTATATTCTCTTGAAGTTTCACCTGCACCTATGGCAGGCATCCTCAGAAGTTGTGAGGTCACTCCACATGGGGAGTGACCTCACCACCTCTGAGGATGCCTGCCATAGATGCAGGTGAACCATCAGGAGAAAGTGCTTCTGGAACATGGCCATACAGCCTGAAAAACTTACAAC